ATATATATATATATACTGAATCATTCGTATTATATTTTCAACTGCAGAAATATAATTTAACATAGTTACATTTACTATCTTGTAACGTATAAACTCATAGATCGTTCAATATTTACCCAACCTACTATGCAATACCATTATGGAATATCAAAATACAAGCGCAAAAGGCAGAACAGGGTGAAGGGGTTACAACATTCCCACGAAATTCTTACTAACTTACGTTTTATTAAGAACGGAATCAACTTGAGTGGGACCCGGGGGAAAAGCGCGAACGGTGGTTTATTAATTAACAACAATAACAATACCGATACACTTGGGTACGTGGGTGTACTCTAATTTTGACATGGTTTGACACACAACGCGGCATACCAACTGTGTTATAATACTATACAACTACTTGCACAAACACTTAGGGTGATCCCAGAGTGTACCGTTTGTTTAGTTACATTCCCGTGCACGTTACTCGCGAGAGGGAAAGAGAATATAGTTGCTTATGCCCGCATGTTCCGCGCTCTGAAAATACATACGCTCGATTATACTGAGCGTTAAACGTGACAAGCTACGGGCACGGTAATTGCGTCACACCATTACATTTAATTAAAAGTTTCGCCCGTAATACTCTCGAAGAAATCCGATTGTTCGAAGCTTGCTTAATATAACGAGCAGGAGGAGAGGATCTGAGATCGACGAAGAAGCTCGTTCCCTCTCCATGCGTTACAATTAAGCTCGCGTAAGCGTTGACGGTCTTCTCTCGACGAGGAAATTGTACCGAATGGAAAAATCGTCGGAAAAAAATCTGGTTTTCAACATTCATCCAGTCTAACACGATCCCAGACTGACTTTTCTCTTGGTTGAAGGAGCTCGTTAAATCGAACTGGGTCGTGAAAACAGCTCTTTGAGGACAGGAATGAGGACGGGACGACACACTCGTGTCGTCGTTTTACATCTCTAGATAGATGCCCCCCAACTCTTTAATCCTAAGATTGATGTCGTTGCAATTTTGAAGTTTTCCACGTTTTTTAAAATCGAAATTCTATAGCATGGCTATCGCTTGCTTCGATCATTCGTGGACGGCTTAAGTTTTTAATCGCGAGTATTCTTTGAACAATTTTTTCGAAACGGATTCTTTGATGCTTTCGAGGCTATGTGTTTGCAAATGAAATTTCGTTTTTGATATTGTGTAAGAAATCGATTCGATCAATCGTATAAGGAAGCGATTACTTCGTAAGATTCATTAAAATTGGATAATTTAACTATTGTGATAATCATTTATGAAAATCATCGTGAAAAGATATCGCGATTTTAAATTTTTTGATGATATTTTACATACGTAAAATAATACATTACATAATAATTTTATGAATTATATGTCAAAAAATAATGTATAAAATATATAAAAAAAATGGATTAATATTCAATGAATGTTTTTGGTTGTAACGAAAAATTGTATTTTTCTTGGAACTTTATAATAATAAATAATAATAAATAAAAATCGCGAATTTATAAAAATGAAAAATTAATTTTATAGTGCGACGATGAATCAAAATGAAATATAAAAGAAAAATGGTACGTTTTGTCGAGGATCTTCTTTCATTTCATGAAGCATCGTAAGCGAGAAAATCCTACGTTAATAGTGGCAACTATAGCTCCGCGTTTTTCTAATTAGCGTGATAACGTTTACGAAGCAACAAAATCTCATTTTCTTGCATCCTCTTTCGCAGGGCTAATTAAAATTTCTATTTGTACACGCGCTCTGCTTTTGCTTGATGTGTCGCGTTGTATGACGTTAATAGTCTGACTCCGCGATATCCTCGTTTTGAAGAGAAAAAAATTGTAAAATTGTATGAAATATAGATATACACGTTGAAATTTATTAATGAGATTCATTAACAAATAAAATGATATAGAGCAATTAAACGCGCATTCAGAAAATGTCACTTGCTCTTTCTGGTCGTGTAATATTAATCCGTAATATTTATGAGTTTAAATATTGAATGACATAAATAAATTATACGTTAAATTCAATTCCACACGCAATTGAGATGTACTATTTATAAAGCATTCTCTATTGTTTCTAAAATTTTCATGTTTATTGTGTAATAATTTGTAATACAAATACACACAAATTATAAAAATAGAATCTATAAATTGTATCTTAAAACAAAAATGTATTGTATAAGGTACATTTATTAAGTTAAATTTATTCCTTTGTGTCTTAAGATATAGATTATTAAAAAAAAAAACAGAAGTTTTGTTATTTTTTTATGTTGTAAAAGTTTTGAAATTGAAAAATTATATTTAATTTAATTCTTAAGGTTGAAAAAATTTAATGTTGTATAAAAAAGAGAAAAATAAATATGTAATATGAATATTATATTTGTAATTCATGTATATCTTCTACATTGCATAGAGAGAATTTTTAATAATCTACCAGCAGTTAGTCTTGCATATGGAATGAATTATTCATTTAATAGATATTATCATAAAGAAATTAAATGGTTTTCTGACCTATTTGATTCTTTTTTTCATTAATAAAATTACATTACCAAATTTAGTAAATTTTTAATCACTTACAAAAATTTCATTATGAATAATCTTCTAAATACTTTTTATTACAAGAATTTATAACCTATAACTTTCAATTTTCTATTTTGTAAAAAATTTATATAATATTTATTTATAAACAACTTATATTAATATCAAATATAGTAATTTATTGCTATGATTATATGCAAACATTATATTCATTATATTTTTCTTTATAATTTAGATATTTTTCATTACTTTATATAAATTTATATATTTCTTTCCATTTTATATAAATTTTTATATTTCTTTATTTACTAATATTCTAATAATTAATAATAATAATTAATAATAATAGTAATTAATAGTAATAATTTTTATAAATTTAATTTGAAAAATATTAAAGAATCATTATACGTACAATTATTCAACAATTATTATATATTATTATATATTATTATATGCACAATATAATTTATAATATAATTATAATTGAATAATTAATGCATAATATTATGATTATTTTTATTTTTACATTTTAATCTAATATTTTGTTAAAACTTTAATAACTTTTATTTTTAATTATTAATTCAACTATTAATTTATTTGTGTTGCTTTATACAATTAAAAAGAAAAATTTATATTTATTATGAAAGAAATATATAATTAATTCTAATAAATAATAAAAATTAATAAAAAATTAAATGTAACCTATATTATATAACTATAGAAATTATATATAACTTATATAAATGAAAATATAATTTTTATATAATATAATTTTTATAATTTATAATTAAAAATTTCAAAAATATTAATATATTTAATATTATATTAATATATTAATATATATGTATATATATATACATATATATTAATATTAATATAAATATTTATATATTTTATATAATAAATTTTTATATAATTAAAAATTTCAAAAATTTTTATAATATATAAAATCGTAAAGAATTACCTGAATAATAATTCTGAATAAAATTTATATAATAATAGAATCTTATATGGAACATGTGGTACTTCGTCGGTCGAAGAGACTTTTGATTTGTATATAAATTTCGTCCTCGTACGAAAGGAAGGTCCTCGTACGGTGGAAGGGGAAATGTTTCGCTCAGCCAATTACAAATCGGCTTACTTAACCTGTGGCGCGTGGCGTCATTGTAGTGTCGAAAATTGTGGTGGAAAGACGTGTTCGCCGTGACTCCGATCCAGATTTCTTACTGCGCAGTATGTATTTTTATCATTATTTTTTACTATTATTATATTATTTGGTTAATATTCTATTTGTTTAATTATTATGTGTTGATTTTGTTACTTATTAATTACTTTAATTAACTTAATAAGTTAAAATTAAATAGTTTTATATACTTCTTTTTTTTACCGCCTACGTCATTGTAATTGTTACTAATTATTTGTTTCATTAACTTTTAAAATCGAATTTCGAGTTCGAATATTATTTAATTTTGATACAATTTATTCGAATTTCGATTATTTATTTTAATTTCTTGATTTTCTTTTGTGCAGATCATTAACTGATCGAAGAAGGTGATTGAACGAACAAAAAACGAACAAAAGACGCCATGACACCGACGCCAACCGTTAACAATTTATACATCGAAACGCAGTAATATTTGATTTATTACAACACGGCAGACGTATGTAAATTTATATTTTCTTTTTATTGGATCATTGGTGAAAAAAATTTGATATACAATACGTAATAAATAATTCATACGTAATTAAATAATAATTTTCACAATCGAGAATATTACGATGAAAGTGGAAAAAATCGAATTACCTTCTTATTTCGAGTTTATTAAATTATTTCTTCGTGTTATTTCATATTTTCGAATATATTAAATAAATTATTTCATTATTCGACAATAAAATCATTAGATATCGTAACATTTCGATCGCAAATTTTATTTCGTAACATCGTATTTTATTTCGAAATCTACGTCGCAACTTTATTATTGGGGCGGGGGGGGGGGGGAAAAGGGAGTGCAGGAACAGACAGGTTCAGACACGTTTCGACGCGAAGATAAACATGGCGTCTGTATTGTATTGTCATACTTGCCTGAGGCATGTTTGACTAAGGAATTTCGATTCATCGTGATATTCTCGAACTATTTATAAAAAAACTATATATTTTATTCTTAAAAATTGTATTTTATTCTCTGATTACAAACATTCATAATATTTTTTCATTTGTATTGATATTATCGTATTTATCGACATGAAGAAATTTTTTATCGCAAATAATTTTAGAAAGGTAGCAGTATTTTTCAGTACAAGTGCTCAATAGAAAAAGAAAAAATATTTTTTCTTTTTTTTTCTACCCCTTCTTAATAATAGTTTTTTTTTCAGAATATTTTTGTGATCGCGCGCAATGCGGTCAATAGAGTCAGTGTTTGTTACGTAATAGTATTTTTCATATTTTTTAGAGCACAAAAGCTCTGATTAAATTTAATTATTATATTTAAAATCGCGAAAATAGAGTCAGTGTTTGTTCGCCGATTGAAATTTAACGGACGTGTTAATAATCTTTTATTTTATTATTATTTTTTTTAATATTCGTTTTCGGTATATATTAGAGTCAGTGTCTCAAGAAAATAAGGCGATCATCCATCACGCGAAGAGGTAATTATCTTTGTATTTTTCTTTTAATTTATTTTTTTTTTCATTTTAATATAATTAAAATTTATTAGAATCTTAATTTTTATTTTTATTTATTTAAAATTGAATAGAATTCTACTTATTAGTTTATTATCTTAAAATTTTTATAAATAATCAATTTTATATTTTAAAAAAAAATTACATACGATATTTTCGTTTTTATTCTAGATCCTGATAATAGTGACAGTTCTTCTGGGTTTCAATCCCCAAAAATATTTGTGATCGCGTGCAATGCGGTCGATAGAGTCAGTGTTTGTTACGTAATAGTATTTTTAATATTTTTTAGAGCATAAAAGCTCTAATTAAATTTAATTATTATATTCATTCGCGAAAGTAGAATCAGTGTTTGCCGATCGAAATTTGAACGGCTGTGTGTGGTAGTCTTTTTTTTATTTATTTATTTTTTTTTTTAATATTCGTTTTCGGTGTACATTCGGTATACATAGAGTCAGTGCATCAAGAAAACAAGGCGATCATCCATCACGCGAAGAGGTAATTATCTTTATATATTTTTCATCAATTAAGATTTTCCATTTAATTTTTTTATTTTTATTTATTTATTAATTTCTTAAAATATCCATTATATATATCATATATATCATCATGTTTTAAATTATGATGTTCCATTTTTTTGTTACAGTTTCCATTTCCTTCTACTTGATGAGATGACTTCCTATGGCAATGCAGATTCTTCGCATGTATGGTGAGTCGCATGCATTTTGATTCCTCCGGTCACTCAATCATGTCGTAGGGTGAAAGATCCGAATCGACACGGGTGACTGGTTGTATACGTAGAATTTTGCACGAGCACAGTGACCGCGGATATATTTATTATATCCGTGAGTAATAACATTATTTTGTTCGTTTTTATTTATTAGTTTAGGCTAGGTTTTCTTGCATATCGCGATTACCATGAGTAATATTATATTGATCATTAATTATAAATTAATATTGTCCATATTAGTAATTAAAATATGCGAAAGCTATAATATTTGTAATTAAGTTGAGTATCTTTAGTTGACAATATATTCGCTAGAGTTATTTGTAGAATCACATTGATAAAAGCCAAACATTCATACAAATAACAAATTATTGAAATGACTTCAATTAGATATTCCGTAATGGACAAAGTAAATATCCATATAAAATTTACGCGAAATTATTGCAATTATTATATAAGGATAACACATATTATCAATGATATGTTCCATTTTATGATAATATTTTTATCGATTTTATTAATCAAATTTTCATTTTATAAATTTTAATATAATTTGAAATATAATAATATTAAAATTCAATTTATTTCGTTCAAAAAATGTATGAAATTTTATATGCAAGAAGACACTTCGCGACAGGTAGATTTTGAAATCAAAGCTACAAATTTTGAATATTTTTTCGAGTTTTAGAAAATATGCTTTGATAGAGGAATCACCTGAGGATATTTTTATTAATATTTAACTTCAATATTTATTATTAATTAAATTCATTGTATCTTAATTTTTTTAAATAAATATTCTTTTGCAATTTCTTTAATAAAATATTATAATATTAGAATTTCAATTTATTATATTTACAAAAAAAAAAAAAATAAAATATAACAGTAAAATTTGAGATAAGATAAAAATAAAAAATTAAATTTCAATCAAATTTCATTAGTCCGTTAGATACAAAATATTTATATTAATATATTTTTTTAGCTTAGGATTTTCAGGTTTAACCCTTTCCGTGTTCATTGCCAGGATCTCATTCACGTGCCCAAGTGTTACTTGAGTGAGAGAAAGGCGATGGGCATGATGACCATAGTTT